ACAAGATGTCATTGGATTTCATCTATCCTTGCTTCCCGAAAGATGTTCATCCAGGGTGGAGTGTAGTTTCGACATTGTGTGTGTCTAATCAGCATTGTCAACGGAAATCGAACCCGGATATTCTAGTGTATAATTTCGACATGTTACAGCTGCTACAGTACAATGAAAGCTAATGGATCATGATAGGTTCATGATGAAAAGTGGTATTTCACCATTCCAGGTGACGTCACATAGTATACTAAGTAAGCAGTTCCTGCTTGATGATAATAGCTTTTAGAAAACAAAACTAAGTGAAATTAAATGATATCGTAAGACCTACTTGTATCATTGTGAAAAAATCTAACCATGAATCCATCATCAGCTTAGAAGAAAGTGAGAATAGGACTCTAATTCAAGATCAAGTGATAGCCTCGAAACGTACTTGTTACAAATATAAATGAGGTAGTTGATTGCAATGGCAAAATACAAATTTAATCATAGGGAATCCCACTGTAAATATGATATATGAGACATGGCTTGCTTAAAATTGATGTCTGCACAGCGACTCAATTACGATGATGGCAGTGTGGAAGTGATAAGAAGTCCATCAACCAATAGTATATGATGATTTACAATTTAACTAGCTTTTCAATAAACGATTTGGACCCTCTTTCTCCTATACTCTACACTTTTCGGTCATAGCATTAATAATGGCATGTGGATTATAGTGAATTAGGTGAATACATCTCATATTACTGATTTACTCATAGTTTCGAAACTTTACTCAAACACGAAAAATAAGTAACGTTGTCGATTGTTATAGCAAATATACGATTGCTTCATCGACAATCCCACCAAATAATATGATATGGCAAAATGCCTGGCCTTCCTTGAAATTCACATCTGTGACCCAAGGACACTCGTGGCAATGCGGTCGAGTGTTTAACGTGTCAAGCTCCCATTCTGCACTGTCACGATTCGACTCCCGCTGGGGGTGTTGATAAGACCGATGCGAAGTCGACACTGAAGTCCACCCTGGATGAGAGCAACTTTTGGGAAAGCAAGGCAATGTGAAATTCAATGGAAACTTCAGCTCTACTCATATCATTGTGAGAA